GTAGAGTTACGCGTGTTTCTTGTTCGAATGAATTAGCAGCGAAGCGCAATGTAGATATCTGCCATCTGAATCCGGTACTGTTGATAGGTAGACCCAATGACAGATTACTCTGCTGAATTAAAGCTATAGTGCTAACTGTGCGGTAATGCAAAGTATTCCGTAAGTTTCGACTAGTCAGTCCTACTGATTATGCAAGAGTAGGTGCTACAGTACTGAAAACTGACTACTGACTGCTTTTATTGCGGAATGTACCAATTTTGCTTTAGCGTCCGTGATTAAATCACAAAACTACTTTTTACGGTGTATTCTGCCAACATCCCTTCTTATTTTTGAAGGTTCTATTAGGTAGTGTGGTGCAATTAAGTTTTGTTTGATTTGCTATGCATCATCTTGCTTGCCGCACAGCTGATCAACTGTACTTTTGCTCGCTGCCGCTTGCTTCAGACTTTGTTGCGTGAAAGTCGAGGAGTGGTCCATCAGTTGAGGTTTGTCCTGTTTTAACTTAGAAAAATACGACACTACAGGTCTATGCAACATTTGCAATTTTCTTGATTCACTATTGCTCAAGCCCATTCTGTATGGCACAACGCTGGAAGTTGTATAATACAGCACATGAAGCTATGCAGTAAGTAATTAAAATTGTGTGCAAGGCCTCTTAGACATCAAGTAATTGCATATTGGCGTTGGCATTCTGGGGTTCCGCGACTCATCTGCAAGAATACCAGCCAGTTGTCCCGACAATATACTGAGTTGAATCAGCGTATTTCTTCTTTTGTGGTGGTTGAGATTGGTCTGCAATTAACTGAGCGAAATTCGTTTTGTTCAGGCTTTTTCGTTTTGCAGATCAATAATAAACTTCTGTATTGAGTGATGGAACGAGTCAATAGGCTATGAAAATTTTCGATGTTGCCCGTTTACATTATTCTTTTTTATCAAGTGTGCACGTGGATCATGTCGAAACAATTCCAAATTGCTAGAACGAAGCGCAGTTAACTTCGCAACTGACATCCATCTGGACGGCCAATCAAGCATCTTCGAAGTAGTCTGTGTACGGTTCAGCTATTTGGTCAGATAATCGTTCATTTCGAAAACGATCTTAAATGCTTACTGTGCATCCTGCACTAGTACTAAAGATAGTGTAGTAAGCATTCGGTTTTTTAATGTGAAAGTGGCATCACATTTGTAATGCACGCAAAACCACCGTTTATATTCTAGTGCAATATATCACATTTTCCCGCAGCTGTTCCTGTGTCGTTTGAAACGGAATTACAGAGAAAGCGCAAGATTGCTACGTCATTGAACAAAACTCACCAAAATCCTCAGAGCTTTGATCAAGCTTTTCATATAGCTAATAGGAGTGTTAACAATAATAAAATCAATAAACGAGAAGTTGATTTCCATTGTACAAGATTAAGTTTCATAAGTGACATATTCCTGAAGCAGCTAATATTAATGAGTTCACAAAATTTCGCTATGCAAGAGCTACAGATTCCAAAGAACCACGATTTCGCACCTTTTGCGCTAATTGTAAATTGATACATCGCAAACGCGAACAGCGGTATTCTTATCACGCCCAAATATGCTAAATATATCCGTTGCGCATCGTTCATGCCACAATCGACCTGCAACGCTTTTTTTGTCAAATTAAGCACGGAAATGTCGCAAAGTCTTAGTGATGTAGGTGGTCAAGCGTATAAATAAGATTTTCTCAAAACACTTCATGAATATAACCTGAGAGTTACTGTTCAACAGCGATTTGTCAAGTGTTCCTACTGTGAAAAGCACATAATATTGAGTTTCGAATCGATTACAGTAAACGGTCTCTCAAACAGGATTCGGCGATCCGCAGGAAAGAATTCAAATGTCAAATCGAGACGGGAGCACATTTGCTGAAACATAACATAAAAGCTGACCGAGAAGTGAAAAATTGGAAGCGAAATTTGTTCCCCACAATTTCGCGCTCACGAGGCCGACTATTGTGAGAATATAGACGTATATTCCGACAATTTATTTACCCACTTTTCCTATTTATGCTAGTAACGACTGGCGGAATCTATCGCAATGGCGACTGAATGCAGCCGTATCGACGAAATGTCCGTTTCCCTGTTGTTTCAGGAATTTTCCGAGGCTGCTCCAACTGACCGA